ACTTCGTAGTGAACCACTACAGTAGGAAGTGTTAGAACTGTGTTCACTTCGTAGTGAACCACTACAGTAGGAAGTGTTAGAACTGTGTTCACTTCGTAGTGAACCACTAAAGTAGAAAGTGTTAGAACTGTGTTCACTTCGAATTGAACCACTACAGTAGGAAGTGCTAGAACTGTGCTCACTTCGAAGTGAACCACTACAGTAGGAAGTGTTAGAAATGTGTTCACTTCCAACTTGAAATTCATTACGATAATTTGAAAGACACTAAGGAGATCGTAAAGCGTTACAATAGATAGGGTCGGAAATATGACCACTTGAAAGTCATATTAAAGCATTACTGTAGAATGTGTATGAAGTTTGACTGCTGGTAAGCTATTAAAGTGATATAAAACACTATACCAGACAGTGTCGGAAATATGATCTCTTAGAAGTCACTAAGTTAATAGAAAATCCTACAATATATATGGTAAGAAATATAACCACTTGGAGGTTATTAAGGTAATAGAAAACACTACAATATATGTGTTAATAAATAGTACTAAAGTAGAAAGTATCGGAATTATGACCATTTGCAACTTGGAGGTTACTAAGGTCATAGAAAAATACTACAATATACGTGTGTTAATAAATAGTACTAAAGTAGAAAGTATCGGAACTATAATCACTTGGAACTTGGAGGTTACTAAGGTCATAGAAAAACACTACAATATATGTGTTAATAAATAGTACTAAAGTATAAAGTATCGGAACTATAATCACTTGGAACTTGGAGGTTACTAAGGTCATAGTAGATCACTGCAGCAGGCTGGGTAAGAAATATGACCACTTGGAGGTCACTAAGGTCATAGAATTCACTAAAATAGAGAGGTCAGAAACATGGCTACTTGGAAGTCACTAAGACCATAGTTAAAAAAACTGTAGTGGACAAGGTCAGAAATCTGGCCCCTTAGTTAGTTACTTGGTGTTACAGTTGAGAGTATAAAAAATATGACCACTTTGAAATCACGGAGGTCTTGGTTAAGTAACATCACAGAAAATGTTATAAACATGATAACTTAGAAGTGACTAATAAAGAACTACAGAAAAACTGGTCAGAAATATGAACATTTGGAAGTGCCTCTTTACAAACTCACCGTTTAAAAGTCGAAGCGTTTCGTTTGAGCTTATGTGTAAGTTGCCTTCATAATCCGAACGTTTCTTGATTTCTGCATCAAGCTGTTCTTGTGCTCTTCTGCGGAATCTTCTTTCTCGTCTTAACTTCTTCTGGTAAATAACTGAAACGTAAAATAAATAACGCCAAAGATATACATTTTAAACACTGAATCGTTGTAAAGACGATGTGAATACATAATTATAGTTTCTATAATTGCATATCATTCTAAGACGACTAATTTTACTTGTTTATAATAAAATATGACGATTATCGAGTAAAAATGAATTGAAATTTTTAACCTAACCGCATCTTATGCGCATGTGGGCTAAAGATCCAGGTCAGAGACCCCTAAAATTGTGGGCTAAAGATCCAGGTCAGAGACCCCTGAAATTGTGGGCTAAACAGCCAGGTCAGAGACCCCTGGAATTATGTGCTAAATAGCCAAGTCAAAAACACCTAAAACTGTAGGCTAAACAGCCAAGTGAAGAGACCCCTAGAATTGTGGGCTAAACAGCCAGGTCAGAGACCCCTAAAATTCATGTGTAGCCGTCCCTAATTCTGAACCACTGACAGATGGAGAACATCTCGCCACCAGTACTCGCCACCGAGTACGTTTAGAGCAGAATAACGGTATTAAATGTCACTTTTCTAATGTATTAACAGGAGAAAGTGCGAAATGTCATCTACAGTATTATGACTCGAACCATGGACCCTTCAATCCGCATCTCAGCATGTTAACCACCAAGCCAGAGACCCCTGGAATTATGGGCTAAATAGCCAAGTCAGAAACCCCTAAAACTGTAGG